AACCCATTCTCTTTGCTGACGACACGACTTATGTCATCTCTCACCCTAATCTTGCCACCCTCAACACCACTGTTAATGAGGAGCTGATCAAAATATCGACTTGGATGACAGCCAATAAACTTACGCTTAACACTGACAAAACCTACTATATTATGTTTGGTAGCAGAGCAGGAGATGCACAAATTAACATTAAGATCGACAACACTCTAATTACCAGACATAATGAGGGCAAATTCCTAGGCCTATACCTTGACAACAACCTGAATTTCAGCACCCATATCCAACACATAACCAAAAAAGTATCAAAAACGGTTGGATCCTCTCCAAGATATGATACTACGTGCCGCAAAATGCCCTTCTCACACTATACCACTCACTTATTTATCCATACCTCACCTATGCTATTTGTGCTTGGGGATCAACTGCAGCAACACACCTAAAGCCAATAATAACCCAACAAAAAGCTGCAGTAAGAATAATCACTAAATCCCATCCCTGGCAACACCCCCCCCCCCACTCTTCATAGATCTAAACTTACTCCCTGTTCAGTACATCCACACTTACTACTGTGCAATCTACATCTACAGGACCTTAAACTCCAATATCAACCTTGACCTAAAACGCTTTCTTGATAGTTGTGACAGAACCCACAGGCATAACACCAGACACAAACATCTCTACGACATTCCCCGTGTCCGACTAAACCTTTACAAAAATTCAATGTATGTCAAAGGCTCTAAAATCTGGAACACCCTACCTGAGAACTCTAGAACTGTAGACACATTCATCACCTTCAAAACTACCATTAGAAAACATCTTATCTCCCTGATACACCCCGTCAACTAACTACACGAATACCACCTGGTGGTTCACACTTACACTCACTCACCCATTTGACCATAAACAGAAATATTAATCTCAATCTTAAAATAATGAATCCTGTGATACTCCAATACTGACACTATGTACTGTGCCAAAACAAAACCATTCACATTGCTAATCTCACAAACTAGTATTTAGTCACTTAGCCATAATACCAACTTACCTCATAATTTGTAATATTTTAAAATTAAGAATTAAACTAAGTCTGCCCGAAATGCCTAGCCATGCTAGGTGTTCTAGTGGTACATTCTGTAATCATTATATTACTACATGTAAACCACACAATAACCAAATTCTGTAAACTCAGCATTGTAATCCTTATAGAGAATAAACTTTGAATTTGAATTTGAATTTGAATTCCACTTCCTGACAACTCTGTGACTGAAGAAGTACTTCCTAACATCCCTGTGGTTCATCTGAATCTTCAACTTCCAATCGTGTCCCTTTGTTGCTGTGTCCCATCTCTGGAACATCTGGTCTCTGTCCACCTTGTCGATTCCTCTCAGTATTTTACATGTTGTTTTCATGTCTTCACTGTCCTCCAGTGTCGTCAGGTCGAGTTCTCTTAACTTCTCCTTGTAGGACATGCCCCATAACTCTGGGACTAGTCTCGTTGCAAACCTCTGCACTTTCTCTAGTTTCCTGACGTACTTGGCCAGGTGTGGGTTCCAAACTGGAGCAGCGTACTCCAATATGGGCCTGACCTACAGTGTACAGGGTCCGGAACGACACACTACTGAGATGCTGGAATGCTATTTTTAGCTTCACTTGGCGCTCATATGCTGCAGCAGTTATTTGGTTGATGTGCGCCTCAGTAGATGTGCTCGGTATTATACACATTCCAAGAACCTTTTCCTTGAGTGAGGTTTGTAATCTTTCGTCCCTGGACTGTACTCTGTCTGTGGTCTTCTCTGCCCTTCCCCAGTCTTTATGACTTTGTGCTTGGTGGGGTTCATCTCCAGGAGCCAGTTGCTGGACCAGGTCTGCAGCCTGTCCATATCCATCTGTGGTCCTGCCTTGTACTCCTCTGACTAACTTCTCCTCATTAACTTCACATCGTCAGCAAACAGGGACATTTCTGAGGCTATTCCTTCCGTCATGTCATTCACACATATCAGAAATGGCACTGGTCCTAAGATTGACTCCTGTGGAACTCCGCTCATCACAGGTACCCATTCTGACACCACATCACGTACCATGACTCGCTGATGCCTTCCCGTCAGGTATTCCCTGATCCATTGTTGTGCCTTTCCTGTTATCTCTGCTTGGTCCTCCTGTTTTTGCACTAATCTCTTGTGTTGAACTGTGTCAAAAGCCTTCTTGCAGTGGTCCACCACTCTTCTGATAATCTTCTCCACGACTTTGCACACAATACATGTCAGTGACACTGGTCTGTAGTTTAATGCTGTGGTGTGTGTGTGTGTGTACTCACCTAGCTGTGGTTACGGGGATCGAGTCACAGCTCCTGGCCGCTACTCACTCACTCTTCCCGCTCCATGAGCTTTATCATAGGGCTAATTGTGGTACTTAGTAACGTATCTTAGAGAGGATCCCAATGGCACAATAGATGGGCCGTGGGGATGTTTTTAAGTATTTCTTCATCTTCTGGGGAGTCAAT